CTTTCCTTTTCCTCTCTGGTCTCTATTTAGGCACAGTGACAAAATCAACAGTGACGCCACCGCCCCCTACTGACCAGGACCTGGTAGTGCAACTGAAACGTGCAGGTAAGCAGCCCCGCGCACGTTAACAGTACGTAAACACAAACGCTCAGGAGTACACATACACACAAAAACATGCACAAACTCACACACACTCAACAATACAGTATCTGCTACAGCTAGAGGGGATAACTGGGCCTGCTACAGCTAGAGGGGATAACTGGGCCTGCTACAGCTAGAGGGGATAACTGGGCCTGCTACAGCTAGAGGGGATAACTGGGCCTGCTACAGCTAGAGGGGATAACTGGGCCTGCTACAGCTAGAGGGGATAACTGGGCCTGCTACAGCTAGAGGGGATAACTGGGCCTGCTACAGCTAGAGGGAATAACTGGGCCTGCTACAGCTAGAGGGGATAACTGGGCCTGCTACAGCTAGAGGGGATAACTGGGCCTCTACAGAACATGTAACTGTCTCACCAGCAGTCGTTCAATACAGCAGTGTAAAAAGGTGCCTATTATGACTGGTCACTCTAGTCCTTTTGGGTTGATGGCTAAAGGCATATTGTGTATCAAGAGTCTCTGAGTGGTGACTCAGGATCAGTTTTGCCTTTTAGATCACAATTAATAAAAAACACATGGATAGAGGGGACCTGATCCTAGATCAGCACTCCTACTCCCAGTTCTGGCTATCCTCCATTGTAGCCCAAAGTCCAACCAACAGGTTTGTGGAACCTGAGGGACCAAATCAAACACAACCTGGAATCTGTCTGTCTTGAAAACACACTGTTTAGAGAACGGTAAATGGGCCAAGTTCCACACGCATTAACACACATGGACACGAATACACACCAAAAAAAAAAGTCACACGGGCTCACAAACACACACTTTCCTTAAATGTTTCCTTTAACACCTTATTAACATGGCATGAATCAATAAAACAGTGTGTTAATATTATCCTCCATACTGAACCTTTAACAGTTGGTATCAAAACACTGCTACCATTCCAAGGCCATGTCCTGTCAATATTATGACTGACTGACTGGGGCAGCAGACCTGTATGCTGTCACACTGGTGTTAATAGTCTGTCAGTGTGTGTCGGTGGTACGAGCACTGTGTGTGCATGTGTGTCTGTGTGAGATTGATTGTGTGTGTGTGTGTGTGTGTGTGTGTGTGAGATTGTTTGTGTGTGTGACTGTGTGTTAACAACCAGAGCAATGAGTGAAGTGTCAGTGGTGTGTGTAGGGTCATTCCAGTCCAGACCCATGTAGAGAGTACAAGACTCAAATATCTTAAAAAGCACCCAGTGATCTTTGAGGGGGGAGTTACATTTCAGAGGATTTCTATGGAGGATTTCCTTTGGACATGCTAGAATCACATTCAAAAGAAAAGATCTTTCCCGGATACATATTGCATAGCCATTTAACTTCCTACACTACAAAACAATGAATGAATTGGACCAAGAAGTCTATTGGTGATGTCCAGCGAGTGTACAGTATTGTGTGTGTGTGTGTGTATATATGTGTGTGTGTGTGTATACAGTGGGGAGAACAAGTAAATGATACACTGCCGATTTTGCAGGTTTTCCTACTTACAAAGCATGTAGAGGTCTGTAATTGTTATCATAGGTACAATTCAACTGTGAGAGACGGAATCTAAAACAAAAATCCAGAAAATCACATTGTATGATTTTTAAGTAATTAATTTGCATTTTATTGCATGACATAAGTATTCGATCACCTACCAACCAGTAAGGATTCCGGCTCTCACAGACCTGTTAGTTTTTCTTTAAGAAGCCCTCCTGTTCTCCACTCATTACCTGTATTAACTGCACCTGTGAACTAGTTACCTGTATAAAAGACACCTGTCCACACACTCAATCAAACAGACTCCAACCTCTCCACAATGGCCAAGACCAGAGAGCTGTGTAAGGACATCAGGGATAAAATTGTAGACCTGCACAAGGCTGGGATGGGCTACAGGACAATAGGCAAGCAGCTTGGTGAGAAGGCAACAACTGTTGGCGCAATTATTAGAAAATGGAAGAAGTTCAAGTTGACGGTCAATCACCCTCGGTCTGGGGCTCCATGCAAGATCTCACCTCGTAGGGCATCAATGATCATGAGGAAGGTGAGGGATCAGCCCAGAACTACACGGCAGGACCTGGTCAATGATCTGAAGAGAGCTGAGACCACAGTCTCAAAGAAAACCATTAGTAACACACTACGCCGTCATGGATTAAAATCCTGCAGCGCACGCAAGGTCGCCCTGCTCAAGCCAGCGCATGTCCAGACCCGTCTGAAGTTTGCCAATGACCATCTGGATGATCCAGAGGAGGAATGGGAGAAGGGCATGTGGTCTGAGGAGACAAAAATAGAGCTTTTTGGTCTAAACTCCACTCGCCGTGTTTGGAGGAAGAAGAAGGATGAGTACAACTCCAAGAACACCATCCCAACCGTGAAGCATGGAGGTGGAAACATCATTCTTTGGGGATGCTTTTCTGCAAAGGGGACAGGACGACTGCACCGTATTGAGGGGAGGATGGATGGGGCCATGTATCGCGAGATCTTGGCCAACAACCTCCTTCCCTCAGTAAGAGCATTGAAGATGGGTCGTGGCTGGGTCTTCCAGCATGACAACGACCCGAAACACACAGCCAGGGCAACTAAGGAGTGGCTCCGTAAGAAGCATCTCAAGGTCCTGGAGTGGCCTAGCCAGTCTCCAGACCTGAACCCAATAGAACATCTTTGGAGGGAGCTGAAAGTCCGTATTGCCCAGCGACAGCCCCGAAACCTGAAGGATCTGGAGAAGGTCTGTATGGAGGAGTGCGCCAAAATCCCTGCTGAAGTGTGTGCAAACCTGGTCAAGACCTACAGGAAACGTATGATCTATGTAATTGCAAACAAAGGTTTCTGTACCAAATATTAAGTTCTGCTTTTCTGATGTATCAAATACTTATGTCATGCAATAAAATGCTAATCAATTACTTAAAAATCATAATGTGATTTTCTGGATTTTTGTTTTAGATTCCATCTCTCACAGTTGAAGTGTACCTATGATAAAAATTACAGACCTCTACATGCTTTGTAAGTAGGAAAACCTGCAAAATCGGCAGTGTATCAAATACTTGTTCTCCCCACTGTATATGTGTGTGTGTATATATATATGTGTGTGTGTATATATATATGTGTGTGTGTGTATATATATATGTGTGTGTATATATATGTGTGTGTGTGTGAGAGAGTGAAAGTCGGACTAAAGGCTGACAGTGTAGAACAGGGTTTCCCAAACTCTGTCCTGCCCCCCCGCCGTTTAGTTTTTTTGCCATAGCACTACACAGCTGATTCAAATAACCAACTCATTAAGCTTTGATTATTTGAATCAGCTGTGTAGTGGTAAGGCAAAAACCACCCGGGCCCAGGACCGAGTTTGGGAAACCCTGTTCTAGAACATTCCACTGGTCTATTTTTGTCCCAGGACGTGAAACATGTGTCAACAATTTCCACACACATGTGGCGTGTGTGTGTTTATTACTCAGTGTCTATCTCTGTGTGTGTGTGTGTGTGTGTGTGTGTATATATATGTATTTGTATGTATGTATGTGAGTGTGTGTATACAGTATTTGCCCCCTTTCTAATTTTCTCCACTTTTGCATATTTGTGATACTGAATGTTATCACATCTTCAACCAAAACTTGATATTAGATAAAGGGAACATACGTGCACAAATAACACAACAATTACATATTTATTTCATAAACAAAGTTTTGCAACACCCAATTCCCCTGTGTGAAAAAGTAATTGCCCCCTTATACTCAATAACTGGTTGTGCCAGAATTCATGGTTCCTTCTATTAAGGCAAGTCGTCCAGGTCCTGAGGCAGCAAAGCATCCCCAAACCATCACACCACCACCACCATGCTTGACCTTTGGTATGATGTTCTTACTGTGGAATGTAGTGTTTGGTTTTTGCCAGGCATAATGGGACCCGTCTCGTCCAAAAAGTTGACTAAAGTTTGCCAAAAAGCACCTGGATGATCATCAAGACTCTTGGAAGAACGTTCTATGGACAGATGATTCAAAAGTATAACTTTTTGGACGACATGGTTCCAGTAATGCCTGGCGAAAACCAAACTCTGCATTCCACAGTAAGAACATCATACCAAAGGTCAAGCATGGTGGTGGTGGTGTGATGGTTTGGGGATGCTTTGCTGCCTCAGGACCTGGACGACTTGCCTTAATAGAAGGAACCATGAATTATGCTCTGTATCAGAGAATTCTACAGGAGAATGTCAGACCATCCGTCTGTGAGCTGAAGCGCAGCTGGGTCATGCAGCAAGACAATGATCCAAAACACACAATCAAGTCTACATGAAAATTGCTAAAAAGCAACAAATTTGAAGTTTTGGAATGGCCTAGTCAAAGTCCAGACCTAATCCCAATTGAGATGTGGCAGGACTTGAAACGAGCAGTTCATGCTTGAAAACTCACACGTCACTAGTTAAAGAAGTTCTGCATGGAAGAGTGGGCCAAAATTCCTCCACAGCGACGTGAGAGACTGATCAACAACTACAGGAAGCATTTGGTTGGAGTCATTGCAGCTAAAGGTGGCACAAACAGTTATTGAGTGTAAGGGGGCAATTACTTTTTCACACAGGGGAATTGGGTGTTGCATAACTTTGTTTAGGTTTTGGTTGAAGATCTGATAACATTCAGTATCACAAATATGCAGCACCCAGTCAGGAAAATTAGAAAGGGGGCAAATACTTTTTCATAGCACTATATATGTCTCTGTGTCTGTGTACGTAAATATGTCTGTGTGTGTGTCGGTCCTTGTGTGTGTGCGTGCGTCGGTCTGGGTGTGTGTATGTGTCCACCTACTTGACGTTGGTGTTGGTGCAGATGATGTACTCGATCTCGTCGGAGTAGGGGTTCTGGAAGGTGAAGGAGCTGGTGCGGATTAACATCCACTCTCTGTTCTTCATACGGAACCTGTACATCACCGACAACACCTGGCCCTTCAACTTTACCACCTAGATGGGGGGGGGAGAGAGAGAGAAGGTTAGATAAGACACATCACAGACAACCTGACCACCTAGAATGGAGGGAGGGGAACCTTGCGTGTGTGTGTGTGTGGGGGGGGGGGGGGGGTTCAACATACAAATGCTGAAATCAGCACATTCAAAACAGCACATATTGCTGAGGGAGAGAGAGCGAGAGAGAAATGTTCCTCCATCTAAAGGGCTTACAAAGGAAAAAAAGGACTAATTCGAGGAAGAAAGGAGTTGGAGTACTCAACAAAAAAGGTCAGCTTTAATCCATTGTTAGGATGAGAACAGGTGACTGACGTTGCTGTCAAGCTGACGTCTTCCTCAGAGAGTTTCCCCATCTTGGGTGGGGAGCGTGGAAATCAGGTGGACTTCCGAAGATTTTAGGTTTTCGGTTCCACCCAGTCTAATCTCGCCATTCCTCTCCTATCATACCTCTCCGCACACACACACTGACACACACACACACACACTTGACACACCTCTTTCTCTGAATATGCCCTCCCTATGCATACCAGTGAACCTCACCTGTCAATCTGGTTAATGGACGTACTGCTTTGCATCTAAATGCCTTTCAAATAGGGGATCTGAAATGGGCTTCTGAAATGGGCATTCGTAATGAAAGCTCTGTGGACAATCTCAGAGACATGGAAGAGTGTTTTTCCTTTCACACAGCGGGCACCACCAGCTAAACGAGAGCGGGAGAAGGCCAGAAGTTTAATCTTATTTTGAGAAAAAGGCACGATTTCCTTATTTACTTGAGCAAATGTGGATTAGACACGTTTCGACCGCACCTTTTATTCAGCACATATCTCATTGCTTAAACATGGACTAGGGAGGAGTGAGCATCCTATTGGTCAGAATGTATGACCTGTGACCTCAGTAACAGGAAGAGATAGTGGAGCAGTCCTTTGTGCTTGGCAGCAAATCTCAAAAGGCACACTATTCCCTATGTACTGCACTAATGTTGTCCGAGGCCCGGGGCTAAGTGACCAAAACTAGTGCAGTATGTATAGGGGCTCAAAAGAGACACTGGAAGGTGTGTGTGTCCGTGCTTGTTAGGATCTCAGTGTTTGTGCGTGTGTGTGTTCGTGTCTTCATGATTATCTGTATGAGAGAAGTGAAAGGCCAGGGCAGGATGGGGCTACAGCATAGAGGGTGTGCCCCAAATGGCACTATATTCCCTACATAATGTCCTACTTCAGACCAGAGCACGTAGTGCACTATAAAGGGAATAGGGTGTCATCTGGGACACAGCTGTTAAGACGGACCACCAATTATCCCAATACTTCTACTCTACTGTCAGCGACTGAGGCTGGGCTGACAGTGGCAACTACATAGAAAGAGACAGGAGGTAGAGAGGAGGTGAGGGGAAGGGAGAGAAAGAGAGAGGGGGGAGAGAGAGTGCGGGAGAGAGGGGGGAGAGAGAGAAAGAGAGCGAGAGAAAGAACGAGCGAGCGAGGGAAAGAAAGAAAGAGCGAGAGGGTGTGCAAGAGAATGAAGTGCGTTTGAGTGAAAAATACTTACATCCCTCATCTCTATCTCTCAATCTTTCATTACCTTGAGCTGGAGTGGTTCCTACATGCTACGTGTGCCTGTGTGACTGTGTGTGTTGTCATTACCTGCCTCTGAAGATTTTAAACTGTCAGTAGGCTGGGAATACAAAAAATGGGAATACAAAAAATGGGAATACAAAAAATGGGAATACAAAACATGGGAATACAAAACATGGGAATACAAAACATGGGAATACAAAACATGATTTTCTGCCACGAAAACAAACTGTGTGTTGCACAAAAGTCAATCGCATACAAACCAATCAAAGCTGACACTCACAGCTGAGAGCCAAAGCTATTGGTCTGCCAATACCTGAACAAAGGTACCAGAGTGTCTGTCTCTCTACCTGTCTGTCTGTCTGTGTCTTTCTACCTGTCTGTCTGTCTGTTTGTGTCTTTCTACCTGTCTGTCTGTCTGTTTGTGTCTTTCTACCTGTCTGTCTGTCTGTCTCGCTCTACCTGTCTGTCTGTCTCTCTCTACCTGTCTGTCTGTCTGTCTTTCTACCTGTCTGTCTGTCTGTGCCTTTCTACCTGTTTGTCTGTCTGTCTGTCTGTGTCTGTCTCTTTCTACCTGTCTGTCTGTCTCTCTACTTGTCTCTCGCTCTGTCTGTCTGTCTGTCTGTCTGTCTGTCTGTCTGTCTGTCTGTCTGTCTGTCTGTCTGTCTGTCTGTCTGTCTGTCTGTCTGTCTGTCTGTCTGTCTGTCTGTCTGTCTGTCTGTCGAGCTGCAGGCAGTGTGTGTGTGTGTGTGTGTGTGTGTGTGCTGACAGGGCTTGGCAGTTCGCTCTGGGTGATAGCGCTGAGGTCTCTATGCTGCTCATATCAGGAGATATCTGGGACAGACAGGTGGACATGAGCTCTCTGCCAGATGATAAGAGAATCTGAGTGTGTGTCAGAGGGTAAGGAGTGTGTGTCTTAGACATTTTGTCTGTGTGTGCCTGTCAGAAAGGTATGTGTGTGTGTGGGGTTCTGTTCCATGGAAGGAAACCTCTGCCAGAGGAGTGTATTAGGGAGTATCAGGGAGTCAAACATTTAAAATAATATTGCCCTAACAAAACATTCCTCAACATTTCACCTTTCACCTCATTGCTGGCATTCAGTACACAGTGCTCCCCTGGCAGAGACACTGAACCGCAACGCAGAGGACACACACCTGGGTGCTCAGATATAAATGTTTCATGTAGAACAGATCCGTCAGTCCAGTTTATTAGGGTTAGGCAATAGGGTTCGCTCTATTCCTTACATTTCTATCTGCAACGTTGTGAACTTTTCACCCTTCTAAAAAGGACCCTGCAGTGTGTTCCTGTCAGCTGCTGCTGACAGAGCACATCTTAAACCATTACAGATTGGCCAATAGTATTAGCCTGTCTGCCAGTCCTTGGCATGGCTCCAGTCTTCAGGCTAGGCAGATGGAGGCACTGGATTTATGACCTTTAATTCACCAGGTAGGTTATTTTGTGTCTTTTAGAATCACGACCTGGGGTGAGTTCCCCAAATAATGAAGATCTTATTAAGTACATTGGTAGGCAATGGATGAACGATGGTCTCAATGCTAAAGATGACCTTGATGGTTTGGGGGAAACTCACCCCCGAGCAAGAGCATGTTTCTGCTAGTTTAATTTCCAGGTGAGCCTAGGGTTGCAAAATTCCAGTAACTTTCCCGAAATTCCCAGGTTTTCCCTGTGGGCCCTGGTCAAAAGTAGTGCACCTTAAAGGGAATAGGGTGCCATTTGGGACGCAACCCATGACTTTGGATGGGCTGTCTGTTCTAATGGGCTGTTCGTTGTACTCAGTCTCATTCGACCATAATGACGGGCTACTGGTGTCTAATTAAAGAGCGCCTCCCTTTTCACCTCGGGGTGACAGGGTCAGGAGAGGACCTGAGTGGAACCACTGGCGTGTGACAGGAAGACGAAAGTTTTACTGCCAGACAGAGTAATTAAACCTCTGTTGTAATTCAACATTATGATGCCCCATCTCCTTATTAATTCAGCCACTTACTTAGATAACTAGCAAGTTAAAAGTAGGGGTCGCGTTAACAAAGAATTCTTAATTTTTCACAAAGGAAAAATATATTTACATTTTTGTCATTTAGCAGACGCTCTTATCCAGAGCGACTTACAGTAGTGAGCTCATACATTTTCATACTTTTTTCGTACTGGTCCCCTGTGGGAATCAAACCCACAACCCTGGCGTTGCAAGCGCCATGCTCTACCAACTGAGCTACACGGAACCATAAAACTCATAAGAAATAACTTGCTGTGTTTTGTAAATGCAGATCTAAAATGCTTCTTATTGTAATTTCTGCTCGGCATCAGACTAATTTTGTCCCCCAGTTGCACTTCTCCACTGGGATGAGAATTAACTAAACTGGTATTCTATCAGCAGACAGCGCTCTGACTGATGTGGAGCTACTTTTCTTGCTTACTTTAAGCAAAACATTAGGAAATGTAGCTAGCTACATTCTATCTATGATACACATTAAAAATAGGTAATTAGGCTTCTCCAAGCTCTGATGCTGCTGACAAAATGTAATGACCACAACAGTCCTATCCCTGATCACCCTATTGAAGAAAGAAAAAACAGTCAATACACAGCTGGACTCACCTGCTCCCGCTTGCTCCTGTTGTGCTATTTACAAACAAACACGTGACTGGCTCAACTATTCTGGGGAACTACGGTAAGCTTCATAATGTCAAATAATGTGACAGGTGAAATGGAAAATGTGATCTGCTTTATCTCCTAACATATTGCAAAAGTTGACTGCAGGTATTCACTTAAAAAGTAGCTACATATAATATAATTTATTGGAAAACTTCAAAGAAATAGTTTCAATGCTATTGACTGTATTGAAAAACCATCCCGTGGCTACCCCGGTATACGGTATACTGCCCAAGCTTAATTGAGATACGCCTACTCCCCCTCTCCTCTCCTCCTCCCCCTCTCCACACCTGATCCCCCTCTCCTCCTCCCCCCTTCCCCTCACCTGCTTCCCCTCTCCTCTTCCTCCCTCCCTCCGTCTCCTCCTCCCCTTCTGCTCCCTCTTTTTGCCTGATCGACCTCTCCTCTTCTGCTCCCCCTTTCCTCCTCACCTGCTCCCCCTCTCCCCCCCACACGCTCCCCCTCTCCCCCCCACCCTCTCCCCTCCCCAGTGGTGTAGTACCTGTTGAAAGATCTCTCAAGTGGTCTCTCTGTGGTCCTCTGAGTGACAGAACTCTTCCTCATCCCGGTCTCCTCCACCCTCCCTCTCCTCCTCCCTCCCTCCCTTCCTCCCTCCCTCTCCTTCTCACCGTACCTGTTGAAAGCTCTCTCTCAGGTGACTCTGGTCCTCTGGGTGGCAGAACTCCAGGATGTCTTTCCCCAGCAGATCCTACACAAGACGACAACACAATAAATACACACAAATTCATAAAACTACACACTTCAGGTCAATTTCAAATCATGAAATACAAGTTCATGTTTTAATTTAATAAAAAATGTATAAATTCAGATAAAATATATGTTGGCATTAATATCACTCCATACACACAATTTCACATTATAAAAACATAATTACACACAATAACAAATACACAATTCAAATACTTTCTTTGGGATCCACAATTAAACTTTGTCCAATTACTGGACAAAAAAGCATCTTCAATGTAGATTATTTCTTAACGATGCCTTTTAGTCCAGGACTAGGCTTCCTCTGCCTGGGTTAGGAAAACAGGCCATACAGGTCATACATCATTCAGACCCTTGGACTTGAGTCACTGGCCTTTATTGAATTAATCTGTCTTCCATTCCTTGCATCCGTTCTCCCCGGCTCTTTCTCATTGGAGAAGAAGGTCTAAGGGTAGCCACCTTGGACCTTCTCCTCCAATACGGTTGAGAAGGAGCTGAGGAGAGGATACGAGAAATTGAGGATAGAGGAATTGAGATCAAGCCAGTGATACATCTTTAAATAATTATTCCTGTCATGAAAAAAACCCAACAACAACTGTGCTTCCCAAATGGCATCCTTTGCCTATCAGTGCACTACCTTGGACCAGGGCCCACAGGGCTCTACACTACCCCACAGGGCTCTACACTACCCCACAGGGCTCTACACTACCCCACTGGGCTCTACACTACCCCACAGGGCTCTACACTACCCCACTGGGCTCTACACTACCCCACTGGGCTCTACACTACCCCACAGGGCTCTACACTACCCCACTGGGCTCTACACTACCCCACTGGGCTCTACACTACCCCACAGGGCTCTACACTACCCCACAGGGCTCTACACTACCCCACAGGGCTCTGGTCAGAAGTAGTGCATGATGTAGGGAATAGGGTGCCATTTGGGAAGCAAACTGTCTCCTTTATACAAACATCCTAAATACACACACCATCTGCGCTGTAGACGATCATACATCATTATACATAAACAAGGGATATTAAATTACAAAAGAAACTCCCACCCTGCCAAGCGATCATACTTTCTCATCCTAATAAAGCGACTTTACGTCAGGAATCGGCCCAATTTCGCTAATCTGTTTCTGTAGTGTGAATGGCGTTGAAAGGAGAGGGGTAGATTGGGAGAGAGTGCTATTTGACCAAAGGAATTCCAACTGCATACCACTTTGATCCAGAGCCTTCCTACCAATCAGGAATTATCTTTTCAACGCTATGAGAATGGAGTGTATTTCCCGAAGGGTCTGTCTGTGTGTGATTGTGTGCGTGAGTGGTATGCACGTCCTAAACTTTCCCACCGGTCCAGAGCCAACAACTAAACAAATCAAATCAAAATGTTATTTGTCACATACACAGGTTTGCGGGCGTAGCGAAATGCTTGTGCTTCTAGCTCAGACAGTGCAGTAATATCTAACACCTAATATCTAACAATTTCACAACATATACCCAATAAACACAAATCTAAGTAAGGAATGGAATTAAGAATATATACATATATGGATGAGCAATGACAGAGCGGCATGGACTAAGATACAGTAGAATATTATAGAATAGAATGCAGTATATACACATATGAGATGAGTGATGCAAGATTATAATATAAATATAGTAATAATCCATTTAGCAGACGCTTTTATCCAACGACTTACAGTCATGCTGCATACCATTTTTATTATGGGTGGTCCCGGGGATCGAACCCACTACCTTGGCGTTACAAGCGCCGTGCTCTACCAGCTGAGCTACAGAGGACCACATATGTAAACATTAAACACTATGGATGACCAGGGGGACACAGACAATACCGTTCCTGGTGCAAAAACAATGTCCTATCCCGGAGCTCGAGAAAATGACATTACTAAGCTGCTCCCGAATGTACTATGCCAGGACATGGAAATCGATTCTATCGTAGTCCATGTAGGTTTTAATGACATTATGAAGGCCAGCTTAAATACACACACCATTGAACAGCTGAACAGCTGAAACTGGATTTTAAGAGCTGATTGACTCTCTGCTAGACACTAACAGAAACCCCATCATATCTGGCCCTGTGCCCTCTCTGAATCGTAGCATTGAATGCTTTAGCAGGATTCTTGCTCTTCACAACTGGCTACGTGATTATTGCAGCTCAATGGGTGTAACTTTTGTTGACAATTTCGATACCTTTTGGAAACAAAACACGTTTTATAAGGATGGGATCCACCCAAATCATTTGGGTTCCTGGATCCTTTCACAGCATTATAAGGCTGCGTTGAGACAATGACTTAACAATGACCCAAGCCCAGCTCAGCTAATCCCTACCATTGTGACGCAGAGTTGTCAAAACGCTTCAGCAAATGTACATTACACCAGGGGCATCGGTAGACACAATATAAGTAACCTAATTTATGTCCCTCTAACTGCCCTGAATGCCTCTGCTGACCCTACAGCTATTGTATGCAGTAATCATGTGCCTAAGAACCAGATTTATACTGTTGTTAGCACTGAGCCGGTGTGCCCGAGGAGGAAGACCACTGTGTGCAGCTCACCCTGCACTAACATTAAGAACATGAGCACATCTACTGCTGCTAAGCTTCCCAGTAAAACAATAAAAACAAGTAAACATCCCAGAAGAAAAGTGCTCAAAATAGCCCACGTTAACATATGTAGTTTAAGAAACAAGGTTAATGAATTCAATAACTTGCTAGTAACAGATTACATTCATATTCTGACTATCTCTGAAACTCACATAGATAATACATTTGATGATACAGTGGTAGCAATACAAGGTTATAACATTTACATAAAATTTAGAAATGCCAATGGTGGAGGTGTTGCTGTTTATATTCAGAACCACATTCCTGTGAAGATTAGAGAGGATCTCATGTTAAATACTGTTGAAGTAATAAGCCTACAGGTTCATCTGCCTCACCTAAAGCCCATTCTGGTGGGAAGCTGCTATAGACCACCAAGTGCTAACAGTCAGTATCTGGATAACGTGTGAAATGCTTGATAATGTATGTGATATCAATAGAGAGGTATACTTTCTGGGTGATTTAAATATTGACTGGCTTTCATCAGGCTGCCCACTCAAGAGAAAGTTTCAAACTAACCAGTGCCTGCAACCTGGTTCAGGTTATCAGTCAACCTACCAGGGTAGTTACAAACAGTACAGGAATAAAATCATCAACATGTATTGATCATATCTTTACTAATGCTGCAGAGATTTGTTTGAAAGCAGTATCCAAATCCATTGGATGTAGTGATCACAATATAGTAGCCATATCCAGGAAAACCAAAGTTCCAAAGGCTGGGCCAAATATTGTGTATAAAAGGTCATACAATAAGTTTTTTAGTGATTCCTATGTTGTTGATGTAAAGAATATGTGTTGGTCCGTGGTGTGTAATGAGGAGTAAACAGACACTGCACTTGACACATTTATGAAATTGCTTATTCCGGATACTAATAAGCATGCACCCATTAAGAAAATGACTGTAATAAACTGTTAAATCCCTGTGGATTGATGAGGAATTGAAAAATTGTATGGATGAGAGGGATGAGGCAAAAGGAATGGCAAATAAGTCTGGCTGCACAACAGATTGGCAAACATATTGCAAAATTGAGAAATCATGTGACTAAACTGAATAAAAAGAAGAAACTACACTATGAAACAAAGATAAATGACACAAAGAATGATAGTAAAAAGCTTTGGAGCACCTTAAATGAAATTTAGGGGAAAAAGGCAAACTCAGCTCCATCATTCATTGAATCAGATGGCTCATTCATCACAAAACCAACTGATATTGCCAACTACTTTAATGATTTTTTCATTGGCATGATTAGCAAACTTAGGCATGACATGCCAGCAACAATTGCTGACACTACACATCCAAGTATATCTGACCAAATTATGAAAGACAAACGTTGAATTCAAATTTTTAATTCCGTAAAGTGAGTGTGGAAGAGGTGAAGAAATGATCGTTGTCTATCAACAATGACAAGCCACCAGGGTCTGACAACTTGGATGGAAAATTACTGAGGATAATAGCGGACGATATTGCCACTCCTATTTGCCATATTTTCAATGTAAGCTACTAGAATTTGTGTGCCCCCAGGCTTGGATGGAAGCAAAAGCCCCCTTTACTGGCTCAAATAGCCGACCAATTAGCCTGTTACCAACCCTTAGTAAACTTTTGGAAAAAATGGTGTTTGACCAGATACAATGCTATTTTACAGTAAACAAATTGACAACAAACTTTCAGCATGCTTATAGAGAAGGACATTCAACAAGCACTTACACAAATAACTGATGATTGGCTGAGAGAAATTGATGATAAAAAGATTGTAGGGGCTGTTTTGTTAGACTTCAGTGCGGCTTTTGATATTATTGATCATAGTCTGCTGCTGAAAAAACATATGTTTTATGGCTTTACTCCACCTGCTATATTGTGGATACAGAGTTACCTGTCTAACAGAACACAGAGGGTGTTCTTTAATGGAAGCCTCTCCAACATAATCCAGGTAGAATCAGGAATTCCCCAAGGCAGCTGTTTAGGCCCATTACTTTTTTCAATCTTTACTAATGACATGCCACTGGCTTCGAGTAAAGCCAGAGTGTCTATGTATGCGGATGACTCAACACTATACATGTCAGCTACTACAGCGACTGAAATGACTGCAACACTTAACAAAGAGTTGCAGTTAGTTTCAGAGTGGGTGGCAAGGAAGAAGTTAGTCCTAAATATTTCTAAAACTAAAAGCATTGTATTTGGAACATATCATTCACTAAACTCCAAACCTCAATTAAATCTTGTAATAAATCATGTGGAGATTGAGCAAGTTGAGGTGACTAAACTGCTTGGAGTAACTCTGGATTGTAAACTGTCATGGTCAAAACATATTGATACAACAGTAGCTAAGATGGGGAGAAGTCTGTCCATAATAAAGTGCTGCTCTACCTTCTTAACAGCACTTTCAACAAGGCAGGTCCTACAGGCTCTAGTTTTATCGCACCTGGACTAATGTTCAGATGTGTGGCCAGGTGCCACAAAGAGGGACTTAGGAAAATTGCAATTGGCTCAAAACAGGGCAGCACGGCTGGCCCTTGGATGTACACAGTGAGCAAACATTAATAATATGCATGTCAATCTCTCCTGGCTCAAAATGGAGGAGAGATTGACTTCATCACTGCTTGTGTTTGTGAGAGGTGTTGACATGTTGAAAGCACCGAGCTGTCTGTTTGAACGACTGGCACACAGCTCAGACACCCATGCATACCCCACAAGACATGCCACCAGAGGTCTCTTCACTGTCCCCAAGTCCAGAACAGACTATTGGAGGCGCACAGTACTACATAGAGCCATGACTACATGGAACTCTATTCCACATCAGGTAACTGATGCAAGCAGTAGAATCAGATTTAAAAAACAGATAAAAATACACCTTATGGAACAGCGGGGACTGTGCAGCAACACAAACATAGGCACAGACACATGCATACACACACATGATAACATACGCTCTATACACACATGTACACATGGATTTTGTGTTGTGGATCTGTGGTAGTGGAGTAGGTGCATGAGGGCACACACTTAGTGTGCTGTGAAATCTGTTATGAATGTATTGTAATGTTGTTTTAAATGTATAACTGCCTTCATTTTGCTGGACCCCAGGAAGAGTAGCTGCTGCCTTGGCAGGAACTAATGGGGATCCATAATAAATACAAATACAAATACACAGCATATAGAGCTCTCAAGACATGCTGGAATGTAAGGACCACTCAAAAGATAATGATTAGGCCATGATAGTCTTTGATTGATTGGTTGTAGGGTTTGCAGAAATCTGGTAACTTTCCCAAAATTCCCAGATCTTCCTGAAATCCCGGTTGGAAATTACCTGGAATCAGGATGGAATAACCAGGAAAATCGGGGAATGTTGAGAAAGTTATTCGAATTTTTGCAACCCTAAATGATTAATTGATTGAGCGATCAGTCGACAGTCTGTCAGGTTTAAAATGTCGCTCTGTATTCTGATGTAGGCTAAATTCAAGCGCTTCGGAACACAATATGTACATTCTTTACACTGTAACTCTATCCTACAGTCTTTACCAACATCCGAGCTATCAAGAGTCATGCTGGGAAAATGGAGAACACTTCAATCTTAAGTTATTGAAGCTTTAAATAACTTAAAAGATAGTTGTCTGTGTATACACTTGTAAATCATCTTTAAAACCTGCAGTTGGATTGTCATCTAAAAAGGCCCTACTGTAACTTATGTCTGTAAACTCACAAGTACGTACTAACACACAGACAGGGGTCTTACATTACAAGCCATCAAGCAGGGTTCATCTCTCCTTATAAGGCAATATTAGGAACCAGGGTTTCTATAGCTTCTGTGAAAATGCATTCTACCCTTCCTCCCTTTCACTGCTGATCTAACATGGTGGGACAGGTGAAAACAAGGACTCCACTAAGTACAGCCTGTCCCCTTGATCTGTTATTAAACACACGCTGGTCTGAAAAGAAGATTATCTTCCTCAATAGTGCGCAGCGAATTCATACTAGGAAAGGAGTAGGACATCCTGGCATTTAAAGTGTACTTATTTCTTTTTTTCAATTATACATACTATAAAACATACTATTGTTGCATAGCCAAAAAAGCCTATTTAGTACATAGGACCATTCAGTATCCGGACACGGTTGGCGTTTCCCATAGTTTAGTTTCCAGGCGGTGCATAAAGACCATGAAATCAATATTCCGGGCCTCTTCAATTTCAAATGAAACACTGCCTCATCTTTACATTTAACAGTCTGTGACATGGCATCAGCTGCTCCATTTCGTCAAGGGGGGTTGGAAACCTATTAACAGGTTACGTCACTACTGGTCACTATTTGCAACATTTTCACAACATTTCACAATGTCTTGCCCTAAAGAATGAGTAGAATGTGATGAGTGGGCATCGAACGAGCGGCTCCAGTTCACCATAGGGCTTTTATTGTGAACTCTGACAGGTGGCATCACAGGCAACAGATATGTTTTGCTCAATATGGTTCCGCTCAATAACATGATAGTTTTGATGTCACCTCACAGACTGTTCCGGTTACGTTTCGCAATTTTCTAAATGTTTCGCAACGTCGTGCCCTACTAAACGAGACCCTGATTGTGATGAATAGGGGGAGGAACCAACCTGAGGCTGGTATCCAATCACATTGATGCACCGCGGGTCCACAAAAGTGATGATGCCGTCTGAGTTGTGGCGCGACAGGAACTCTGTGGGAACCGACAGGCCATTCATATCCATGGAAACGGGAGAACTGGTCACCTAGGAGATGAGGGGGAACATGTCATCGATTAATTAACCAATCAGTTAATAAACATTTCTGGAAAATTGATTGATGAAACATTGGCACAAAGGTTTTGACAGACTCTCTGAAACTTAAAACCTTTTTTTCAATTGCTTTTAGCGCATTTCTTCTCTCAACCTCTTGAATTTTCATCAGGTGGGAGATGACTCTTTGGACATGGTTACATAAAACCTCAGAACTCTTCATCTCCTAAAACATGTTGACTAAGAATGTGAAGTTCCTCCCTTGCTAGTTAAAAGGGGATGAAAAAGGACGAAGGGACCAGAGGGTTAGATACAGTATATGTGAGAGAGATTAAAGGACGAAGGGACCGGAGGGTTAGATACAGTATATGTGAGAGAGATTAAAGGACGAAGGGACCGGAGGGTTAGATACAGTATATGTGAGAGAGATTAAAGGACGAAGGGACCGGAGGGTTAGATACAGTATATGTGAGAGAGATTAAAGGACGAAGGGACCGGAGGGTTAGATACAGTATATGTGAGAGAGATTAAAGGACGAAGGGACCGGAGGGTTAGATACAGTATATGTGAGAGAGATTAAAGGACGAAGGGACCGGAGGGTTAGATACAGTATATGTGAGAGAGATTAAAGGACGAAGGGACCAGAGGGTTAGATACAGTATATGTGAGAGATTAAAGGACGAAGGGACCGGAGGGTTAGATACAGTATATGTGAGAGAGATTAAAGGACGAAGGGACCGGAGGGTTAGATACAGTATATGTGAGAGAGATTAAAGGACGAAGGGACCAGAGGGTTATATATGTGAGATGATGGAGAAGGTAAAAGCAGGAGGAGGATGGGAGTACCAGGAAGGTTATATTTGAGAGCCTTCAGGGCCCTTATTCATAAAGCGTCTCATAGTGGGAGTGCTGATCCAGGATCAGGCCCCCCCCTGTCCATTTAATCTAATTCATCAAGACCTAAAATACTAAACTGATCCTAGATCAGCACTCCTACTCTGAGAAGCTATATGAATACGGGGCACTTTTTCAGGAGCATGTTTAATGCAGCTTAAAATTATCCTGTGTTGTGCTCAATTCTGTTCCCCCATTAGCTTCCGTTCCCGTTCACGACACCAAAGGCCTGTTTCTTCCTAATGTCATCCGATCATATGAACATGATATCTGTTGTAGCATGTGATGTGGTCTCATAAAGACTTCAGTTGTGTCTCAAAAGTTTCGTCCAAAAGCAAAGAGACGGAATCTGGATTACAATGTCCTGAAAACTGTCCCAAGTGGTTAAATGGTCCTGAAAACTGTCCCAAGTGGTTAATCGGCAGCGTTTGAGATACAGTAGAAAAGGTTTTATCAAAATTTAACAGAAAATATGACCTACATATTAACACATTGTTTTGACCATTTAGCCAGATACTGTACGTCTGGTGTGTCTTAAGCACATGTAAGCATCCTTTACGTTTGTCTGTATCCTACAGAAATATCCTGTTTTTGGTGTTCAATACATGTCCCGGTTCGATATTGCCCGTTTGGTTGACCGGTCAGTCTGACTCAAGAGGTTCCCATCTCTCTATGAGGTTCTATTGTATATGGCAGTATACTCAAGTACTATTTGAGAAGGTCCAGTCACACAAATGTTCTAGGTGGCGAAGGTCCGGATGGATATTGTCATTTATCGGCATAGTAACAAACCCCCACCTCACACCCCTCTTGTTGGTGGATAGAACATTTTGCAGTTTTAAAGCTAATTTCCCTTAATTCTACACATTTTGCATGGGGTAGATAATTTTTTGCTCTTTTAAAGCTCATTTCACACATTTTTCCATGTCTTATGAGTGTTCATATGATACCAGGGGTCGAAGCCCGACGAGTAAACCGGGACCCACGGTCCGCATTGACCCCGTTCTGGGTTCAGATCCAGACTGCGGTCCGCCAGTTGAGTATGGGGGGTATATGGGATACTATGAGGGGACAGTAGCAGTTCAACTCCTTCTAAAACATCAGAGAAGTCTGGGAGCTGAGAAGGTTAAGGTGGGAGAGGGAAGATGTTGGACATATGTAGAGGAGTTGAGCTGGTTGAGCTATTGGGCGGGGGGGTGAGTTATGGGAGGATGGGTGGAGCTCTTCACACCACACACACGAGACGCAAGTTATGGGAGGATGGATAGAGCTCTTCAGTGCACGTTCCACCTGTCTGCTCCATTACTGTAATCCTCCTGGACTGATGCTCCCTGACAACCCCGTGCTCAGGTCACACACCTTGGCATAAACGATATGCACCCACCCAACCACACAAACATAGATCACAGACACAGACAACATGAGACAGGTGATTGGGTTTCCATTTAATTTGAGCAGAGGCTTTTTGTGGATCCATAACCTTATATAGCAATGGGAGAGGAGACTGTGTCGTGTGCTAATCTCTGCACGTCATCACAGAGCGTGTACACACACACACAGGACGGTACCTGCAGTCTTCCGATGGCCACCAGGCAGTATTTACTGGTCTGTCCTGCCTCTGTGTCTTCTTCTGGTATGGTCATACCTGAGATAGGGAGAAAGAGGGAGCGCGAGAAAAGAGGGAGAGAGAGAAAAGAGGGAGGGAGGGAAAAGAGGGAGAAAAGAGAGATAAAAAAAAGAGAGTGGGGGAGAGAAATATATTAAATACACGAGACAGTGAGATATCAAGATGGCAGCTATCCAATAAAGTGTAAATGTGTGATTTTGCATTTCAGATGTGAACTTTGTGTTGTTGAGAGGTGATTTCCATCACGACACTGTGTAGTCTAGTACCGTACCAGTGTAATGTATATTTCCAGCATGCTTTCTCCCATAATGTATATTTCAGATGACTGTGTAGTACTGAGTATTTCACAATGTGTCTTACCGTACAGTAGAGAGTAAATCACACACACACCACACACAACCACACACACACACACAGGCAGGCATGTAAACACATACACACAGTCTCTATGAATCTCTGCAAATCATCCGGAACAAATATCCAAAAACGTCTCTCTCTTACTGCCAGTATCAATAATCATATACATCACAGAGGGAGGGAGGGAGGGGGGGGGGGGGGAGTAGGGAGGGAGAGAGAATGAGCAAGAGAGAGTTCTTGTTCCATTAAGTTTTATATTGATTTAAATGTTGATATCAGTTTCCCACAATAATGAATTCCTTTGTTGTTTCCTTGACAACACAAAAACACCTATCAGTCATAATGAAGACTGTTCGCAGATCTCCTCCCCCCCACCCCCAGTAGAGGATCAGTGTGTTTTTCGATCTGTCTGTCTTATTGTCTGTATAATCTTTCAAATGACAAATAAAAAACCTTGATAAAAAAAGACAATCTGTGTTGAGGACTTTTACTTGCATATTCAACCAACTAGTCAGCCACATCAATGCAAGAAGTAGTCTACGGCCCAAATGGCACCCTTTTCCCTATATAGTGCACTACTTTTGACCAGGGCCAATAGGTACCCTATTCACTGTATAGTGCACTAATTTTGACCAGAGCCATATGGGAATAGGGTGCCAATTGGGACACATCCGTCTAGATTCAATAATATACGCAACTATAATTTTGATGTTCCATCCCAGCCAATTACCATCCATCCTACTACCTGACCTCCATCCACTTTAGTCTCCCCAGGGCCTTTGTTCAGAAAGACACAGAGTAGGAGTGCTGATCTAGAATTGCCCTTTACATGAACAGGGGGGACCTGATCCTAGATCTGCACTCATAATCTGAGACGTTTTATGAAATGGTGCCCAGAAGAGCTGACATGAGCCATGCGCTACATTCTACCAGTTCCTGTGCTGTTTACATAAGCCAGAAGGATGGATGGTCTACGTGCGTGTGTGTGCACGCGGGTGATGCGTCCGATTATACAACGGGCGGGTCTAATCCTGAATGCTGATTGGTTAAAACCGCATTCCAGCCGGTGTCTATTCCACAAGTTACCACCGGCTAAATCTATGACGTTAAAATGCCTATTTACTCTGTTCCATCTGACTGCGCAATCCACTGTCTCATCAACCCAGCCAGGCACTTTATAAACTTGATCTCTACTATAAAAAGCATCTAGACATTATCTCACATTTCTTTTAGACTAACATTTAGTTTTCAACAGCGGAGATTTGTATAACCTTGCTGTCTGTCTCTCCGACATTTGCAACATTGTTTCAATATTCAAATTCGATCTCCTGAGACAGACAGGCAGTCAGCGTTTCTCAGTCAGTCGAAATCATGAATCAGCTGGCATAATCTTTATGGATATATACAAAGAAATGTCAATTGAAAAAAGGTAAAACGAAACAAAGTGCAGCTAGTTTGCAGTCTTTCCAGCTTCATTTTAAGTGATTGTGTTAGCTGTGTTGTTGGCTAGCTCCTCTGAACAACAGTGTCCTGACGATTGAGCACATTTTCTATGCCAGACGAAATCGCGCCTCATTAGCTCATTGTTATGGATGTATCCAAATAAATGTCACTAGAAAACAGCTTAAACAAATGCAAATGCATCTACAGTTGACGTGACTAAGTTAGCCGTAGTTGGCTAGCTAGGGAGCAAGGGATAAGAACGTTGCCAACCAGTATGGCAATAGAACATTTAGAACCAACGACTGGGTCAATAGATGCAGAACAAAAAGACTGAACGACTTATCCCTTATCTCTGGGAACCGAACCAATAGAATGAACGACCAGCCGGCTTGTGTCGGGATTTGTGTCGGGACTATGTCTCGTGGAAGGATGAAATAGTATGAATAAATTCAAAATATTTTTTTTTTATGAAAATATGTCAATCATTATTTGAATATGTTGGTAACCGTTTTATAAAAGTGATAATGCACGAGAAGCCGGTGTTTGGAGGATATATTGGCACGGTTTGCCAGCCCTCTACTTCGTCTCGGGCCTAACAACACCCATGCCAATATATTCTCCAAACACCGGCTTCTCGGGCATTATCACTTAA